AAGTTACAGGTCTGTGAGAGCCAGAAATCTTGTTTGTTTGTAGGTGACCAAATACTTATTTTACCGAGGAATTTACCAATGAATTCATTAAAAATCCTACAATGTGATTTCCTGGATTCTTTCCCCCCATCCTGTCTCTCATAGTTGAAGTGTACCTAGGATGAAGATTACAGGCCTCATCTTTTTAAGTGGGAGAACTTGCACAATTGGTGGCTGACTAAATACTTTTTTGCCCCACTGTATGTATCCTAGTGCTGTAGCGACGCGTCGACGACGACTTCAAAATATCGTCGACGACATATTTCCGCGTCGACGCGTCGCTACACACACGTGGGTCACCCAAAGCAACAAGCAGTTCGCAATCGCACTTCAAACACAATGGAGACTGAAACGGCTACCACCTCCTCCTCACAGGATTGCGCACGAAGCCCCCAAACGAAAACATCTCGCCCTAGGTCTTCAAAAGCATGGGAATATTTTAAAGTTAGTCCAAAACGCAAAGATATTTATATATTTATATCTCACTGAGACTGCTGCATAGCCTAGCAGAAGCAGCAGCTAGCTGTGGTGGCTACCATTAGCAGCTAGCATTTGCTCTCCGATTTTTTACATAAAATGGAATTATGGATTATAAATTCAATCATTTTTTTATACATAGACGTTAAAAACCTATGGATTAACCGATTCAGCCGCGTTTTTTCTCATTTGAGTGCCATTGAACACGTCTTTTGATCAGATTGACAGCTACGGTGGTGAGACGATCTCCCGAGAAGCTCTGTGAAGGTACGTGTTGTGATGACTGTATTTGCTTCCCCTGTCGCGAGTCCGGATCACTCAGTGATGATACTATATACCTACATAATCTGTGGAGTCTCAGCTTTAATCGGATATATTGTATGTGCAGCTACGATAAGTAATAAGGGTACTTTTATCTTGAGTTCTGTGCCAATGTCCGTTAGCATTTTTCGCTCAGGGGTCATTTAGATGCTTCTTGTGAGACTTGTGTTTTGTTTTGGTAAACATGGTTTGTATCGTCAGTTAGCTGAGATTATTTCCGTTAATCTGGTATAACACATTCATAGGTTCTTAAATATTAAGATCCCCTGAGACACAGTATCGTGAAAAAAAATTTTTTTACATTACGTTTTTTGTACATTACGTTTTTTATGAATTGAACAACAGAAAAATAATCGTTAGATTAGTCGACTAATCGATCAAATAATCGCCCGATTAATCGTTTTCAAAATAATCGTTTCCCCCCAGCACTAATGTATCCATCCATCTGTTCATCCATCCATCCATCTGTTCATCCATCCGTTCATCCATCCATCCATCTATCCATCCATCCATCTATCCATCTATATATTCATTCATCCATCCATCTATCCATCCATCCATCTATATATTCATCCATCTATCTATCCATCCATCTATCTATCTATCCATCTATCTATCCATCCATCCATCCATCCATCCGTCTATCTATCCATCTATCTATCCATCTATCTATCTATCCATCTATCTATCTATCCATCTATCTATCTATCCATCTATCTATCCATCTATCTATCCATCCATCCATCCGTTCATCCATCTATCTATCCATCTATCCATCCATCCATCTATCTATCTATCCATCTATCTATCCATCTATCCATCCATCCATCCATCCGTTCATCCATCTATCTATCCATCTATCTATCTATCCATCTATCTATCCATCTATCTATCCATCTATCTATCCATCCATCCATCCATCCATCCATCCATCCATCCGTTCATCCATCTATCTATCCATCCATCCATCCATCTATCCATCTATCTATCCATCTATCCATCCATCCATCCATCCATCTATCTATCCATCTATCTATCCATCTATCCATACATCCATCCATCTATCTATCCATCTATCTATCTATCCATCCATCCATCCATCTATCCATCCATCCATCTATCCATCTATATATTCATCCATCTATCTATCCATCCATCTATCTATCTATCCATCCATCCATCCATCCATCCATCCATCCATCTATCTATCCATCTATCTATCTATCCATCTATCTATCCATCCATCCATCCATCCATCTATCTATCCCTCCATCCATCCATCCATCCATCCATCCATCTATCTATCCATCTATCTATCCCTCCATCCATCCATCCATCCATCCATCTATCTATCTATCTATCCATCCATCCGTTCATCCATCTATCTATCCCTCCATCTATCCATCTATCTATCTATCTATCCATCCATCCGTTCATCCATCTATCTATCCCTCCATCTACCTATCTTTATAAATAATCTAGATTCAGTGTTGGGTGTTTTTGACGAAGTTTTACCAGCAGAGCGTCGAAGATCAGCTGCACATTTCTGTTCTTCTTCAGGTCGATGTAATTCATCAGTAAAGAGCGAGTGTCCAACTGCATGAAGACAGCCAGCAACTGCAGAGGAGAGAGAAACAGTATTAATACAAAATACACTTTCCCAGGTTTATTACATTATTCTCTCCAGTGTTATGGGAAATATATGCAGACAAAGGAACAGAGTTCTTTACATCAGAATCTCCGTCTTTTTTCCTGTAAAGCAGTTTTAAATGTGGGCGGGACATCTCTAAGCGGTTGACCAGTCACAACAGAGCCGGCCAGCTAACCAATCAGAGCAGACTGGGCTCTGGTTTCAGACAGAGGGTGAAAAGAGGTGCTGCAGCACAGACAGTATGAGAAAAATAAAGAGCTTGTTGAACATTAAAGCATGGAGACATGTAGAAACACTACATACTGATATACACCTGAACATCAGCAGGAGAGGACTCTTTAAAGTAGAGACACTACATACTGATATACACCTGAACATCAGCAGGAGAGCACTCTTTAAAGTAGAGACACTACACACTGATATACACCTGAACATCAGCAGGAGAGGACTCTTTAAAGTAGAGACACTACATACTGATATACACCTGAACATCAGCAGGAAAGGACTCTTTAAAGTAGAGACACTACATACTGATATACACCTGAACATCAGCAGGAGAGGACTCTTTAAAGTAGAGACACACCATACTGATATACACCTGAACATCAGTAGGAGAGGACTCTTTAAAGTAGAGACACTACATACTGATATACACCTGAACATCAGCAGGAGAGGACTCTTTAAAGTAGAGACACTACATACTGATATACACCTGAACATCAGCAGGAAAGGACTCTTTAAAGTAGAGACACTACATACTGATATACACCTGAACATCAGCAGGAGAGGACTCTTTAAAGTAGAGACACTACATACTGATATACACCTGAACATCAGCAGGAAAGGACTCTTTAAAGTAGAGACACTACATACTGATATACACCTGAACATCAGCAGGAAAGGACTCTTTAAAGTAGAGACACTACACACTGATATACACCTGAACATCAGCAGGAGAGGACTCTTTAAAGTAGAGACACTACATACTGATATACACCTGAACATCAGCAGGAAAGGACTCTTTAAAGTAGAGACACTACATACTGATATACACCTGAACATCAGCAGGAGAGGACTCTTTAAAGTAGAGACAACACCATACTGAATATACACCTGAACATCAGTAGGAGAGGACTCTTTAAAGTAGAGACACTACATACTGATATACACCTGAACATCAGCAGGAGAGGACTCTTTAAAGTAGAGACACAACATACTGATATACACCTGAAACATCAGCAGGAAAGGACTCTTTAAAGTAGAGACACTACATACTGATATACACCTGAACAATCAGCAGGAGAGGACTCTTTAAAGTAGAGACACTACATACTGATATACACCTGAACATCAGCAGGAGAGGACTCTTTAAAGTAGAGACACTACATACTGATACACCTGAACATCAAGCAGGAGAGGACTCTTTAAAGTAGAGACACTACTTACACCTGAACATCAGCAGGAGAGGACTCCTTTAAAGTAGACACTACCTACCTGAACATCAGCAGGAGAGGACTCTTTAAAGTAGAGACACTACATACTGATATACACCTGAACATCAGCAGGAGAGGACTCTTAAAGTAGAGACACTACATACTGATATACACCTGAACATCAGCAGGAGAGGACTCTTTAAAGTAGAGACACTACATACTGATATACACCTGAACATCAGCAGGAGAGGACTCTTTAAAGTAGAGACACTACATACTGATATACACCTGAACATCAGCAGGAGAGGACTCTTTAAAGTAGAGACACTACATACTGATATACACCTGAACATCAGCAGGAGAGGACTCTTTAAAGTAGAGACACTACATACTGATATACACCTGAACATCAGCAGGAGAGGACTCTTTAAAGTAGAGACACTACATACTGATATACACCTGAACATCAGCAGGAGAGGACTCTTTAAAGTAGAGACACTACATACTGATATACACCTGAACATCAGCAGGAGAGGACTCTTTAAAGTAGAGACACTACATACTGATATACACCTGAACATCAGCAGGAGAGGAACTCTTAAAGTAGAGACACTACATACTGATATACACCTGAACATCAGCAGGAGAGGACTCTTTAAAGTAGAGACACTACATACTGATATACACCTGAACATCAGCAGGAGAGGACTCTTAAAGTAGAGACACTACATACTGATATACACCTGAACATCAGCAGGAGAGGACTCTTTAAAGTAGAGACACTACATACTGATATACACCTGAACATCAGCAGGAGAGGACTCTTTAAAGTAGAGACACTACATACTGATATACACCTGAACATCAGCAGGAGAGGACTCTTTAAAGTAGAGACACTACATACTGATATACACCTGAACATCAGCAGGAGAGGACTCTTTAAAGTAGAGACACTACATACTGATATACACCTGAACATCAGCAGGAGAGGACTCTTTAAAGTAGAGACACTACATACTGATATACACCTGAACATCAGCAGGAGAGGACTCTTTAAAGTAGAGACACTACATACTGATATACACCTGAACATCAGCAGGAGAGGACTCTTTAAAGTAGAGACACTACATACTGATATACACTGAACATCAGCAGGAGAGGACTCTTTAAAAGTAGAGACACTAACATACTGGATATACAACACTGATTATAACCTGACATCAGCAGGAGAGGACTCTTTAAAGTAGAGGACACTACATACTGATAACACCTGAACATCAGCAGGAGAGGACTCTTTAAAGTAGAGACACTACATACTTGATATACACCTGAACACAGCAGGAGAGGACTCTTTAAAGTAGAGACACTACATACTGATATACACCTGAACATCAGCAGGAGAGGACTCTTTAAAGTAGAGACACTACATACTGATATACACCTGAACATCAGCAGGAGAGGACTCTTTAAAGTAGAGACACTACATACTGATATACACCTGACATCAGCAGGAGAGGACTCTTTAAAGTAGAGACACTACATACTGATATACACCTGAACATCAGCAGGGAGAGGACTCTTTAAAGTAGAGACACTACATACTGATATACACCTGAACATCAGCAGGAGAGGACTCTTTAAAGTAGAGACACTACATATACTGATATACACCTGAACATCAGCAGGAGAGGACTCTTTTAAAGTAGAGACACTACATACTGATATACAACCTGAACATCAGCAGGAGATGGACTCTTTAAAGTAGAGACACTACATACTGATATACACCTGAACATCAGCATGGAGAGGACTCTTTAAAGTAGAGACACTACATACTGATATACACCTGAACTCAGCAGGAGGACTCTTTAAAGTAGAGACACTACATACTGATATACACCTGAACATCAACAGGAGAGGACTCTTTAAAGTAGAGACACTACATACTTGATATACACCTGAACATCAGCAGGAGAGGACCTCTTTAAAGTAGAGACACTACACACTGATAAACACCTGAACATCAGCAGGAGAGGACTCTTTAAAGTAGAGACAACTACCATACTGATATACACCTGGACATCACAGGAGAGGAACTCTTTAAAGTAGAGACACTACATACTGATATACACCTGAACATCAGCAGGAGAGGACTCTTTAAAGTAGAGACACTACATACTTGATATACACCTGAACATCAGCAGGAGAGGACTCTTTAAAGTAGAGACATTACATACTGATATACACCTGAACATCAGCCAGGAGAGGACTCTTTAAAGTAGAGATACTACATACTGATATACACCTGAACATCAGCAGGAGAGGACTCTTTAAAGTAGAGACACTACATACTGATATACACCTGAACATCAGCAGGAGAGGACTCTTTAAAGTATGAGATACTACACACTTGATATACACCTGAACATCAGCAGGAGAGGACTCTTTAAAGTAGAGACACTAAATACTGATATACACCTGAACATCAGCAGGAGAGGACTCTTTAAAGTAGAGACACTACACACTGATAAACACCTGAACATCAGCAGCAGAGGACTCTTTAAAGTAGAGACACTACATACTGATATACACCTGGAACATCAGCAGGAGGACTCTTTAAAGTAGAGACAACTACATACTGATATACACCTGAACATCAGCAGGAGAGGACTCTTTAAAGTAGAGACACTACATACTGATATACACCTGAACATCAGCAGGAGAGGACTCTTTAAAGTAGAGACACTACATACTGATATACACCAGAACATCAGCAGGAGAGGACTCTTTAAAGTAGAGACACTACATACTGATATACACCTGAACATCAGCAGGAGAGGACTCTTTAAAGTAGAGACACTACATACTGATATACACCTGAACATCAGCAGAGAGGACTCTTTAAAGTAGAGACACTACACTACTGATATACACCTGAACATCAGCAGGAGAGCACTCTTTAAAGTAGAGACACTACATACTTGATATACACCTGAACATCAGCAGGAGAGGACTCTTTAAAGTAGAGACACTACATACTGATATACACCTGAACATCAGCAGGAGAGGACTCTTTAAAGTAGAGGACACTACATACTGATATAACACCTGAACATCAGCAGGAGAGGACTCTTTAAAGTAGAGACACTACATAACTGATATACACCTGAACATCAGCAGGAGAGGACTCTTTAAAGTAGAGACACTACATACTGATATACACCTGATACATCAGCAGGAGAGGACTCTTTAAAGTAGAGACCCACTACACTACTGATATACACCTGAACATCAGCAGGAGAGGCACTCTTTAAAGTAGAGACACTACATACTTGATATACACACCTGAACATCAGGCCCAGGGAGAGGACTCTTTAAAGTAGAGGACACTACATACTGATATACACCTGAACATCAGCAGGAGAGGACTCTTTAAAAGTAGAAGACCACTACATACTGATATACACCTAGAACATCAGCAGGGAGAGCACTCTTTAAGTAGAGGACCACTACATATGATATACTCCGAACATCAGCAGGAGAGGACTCTTTAAAGTAGAGACACTACATACTGATATACACCTGAACATCAGCAGGAGAGGACTCTTTAAAGTAAGACACCTGAACATGATATACACCTGAACATCAGCAGGAGAGGACTCTTTAAAGTAGAGACACTACATACTGATATACACCTGAACATCAGCAGGAGAGGACTCTTTAAAGTAGAGACACTACATACTGATATACACCTGAACATCAGCAGGAGAGGACTCTTTAAAGTAGACACTCTACTACTGATATACACCTGAACATCAGCAGGAGAGGACTCTTTAAAGTAGAGACACTACATACTGATATACACCTGAACATCAGCAGGAGAGGACTCTTTAAAGTAGAGACTCTACATACTGATATACACCTGAACATCAGCAGGAGAGGACTCTTTAAAGTAGAGACACTACATACTGATATACACCTGAACATCAGCAGGAGAGGACTCTTTAAAGTAGAGACACTACACACTGATATACACCTGAACATCAGCAGGGGAGAACTCTTTAAAGTAGAGACACTACATACTGATATACACCTGAACATGAACAGGACAGGTCCTCTTGAAGGACTCACTTTATTCAGCATGTGTTTCCCTGCTCTCACCTCCTGGTAGTCTCCCAGTGGAGTCAGGTATTGGAGGATGAGTCTCTGCTCAGTGGCGGCGCTCAGTGGAGAGAGACGGTACTCTGATCCGATCACCATGGAGCTCATTTCAGACCAGGAGGCGCTCCTCTCCTCCTCTTCCTCTTCCTCCTCTCCCTCATTCATTTTCTGCTTGACTTTCCTCCCGTTGTCCTGCATCGCTCGTCTCTTCCCTAATCCTCCTCTTCTTCCTCCTCCTCCTCTTCCTCCAAGATCTGGCCTGGCTTGGTAAACAAAATCCGGCAGAAGTCGCGTTTTGTCTCCGTTCTTTTTTGCAGAGCAGAGCTTAAACTCAGCATCTTCTTCTTCCTCGTCCTCTTTTTTCTTCTCGCCTTCCTCCTCTTCCTCGTTTGTTTTTAAGTTCTGGTGTGTTGAGGCGCTCGAGGTTTCGGCCTGAGGCAGATTCTTGGCGTCTTCACTCTGCAGTTCATGCAGGCGCTGGATCATGATTGGCACCTGCAGGAAACACGAGACTTCTTAATATCATCTACAATTGATCCTTTTACATTTCTACCTTAATCTCTCAAATGACGTCTGTTGTAGCGGACAGAAACCATGGCATTTCATTTTAGTTGGACTCTTATAATTCTTATTAATTGTCTATTATAGTGTACTCAATTGTATTCAGTACATTTCATATTGTGTATTATAGAAACTCTTTCTTTGTTTCCCTGTAAGCAGGATATCTTCTGGTCGTAAATTCGTAAAAGTAAGATCGCTGAAAACAGACAAATATACTGAAATCTTGTTTTGTAAATCTCAGGTACTTCAGGAAACCAATGAACACATTCAGCCGAAAGTAAGCTAAAATAACTACAAATTGATACCTGTTAGTATAAGAGGACACAACTAAATGCTTATTCAGGTCTGTCGCAAGTTGTCGTTTCTATTAATGAATGGAGACCGTTTTAACAGGCTAGGCTAGTATTGTTGCCAATCAAGATCAAATCAGATCACAGCTAAATGTCTTCATTTGGTTTCTTGACGTATCTCTTACCAGCAGAGCGTTCTCGTCTCTGTAGCTAGCTGCTACTTCCTGGTTGCTCATGGCTCTGGCCAGCAGTCCGGTGGAGAACACGTTGAGAGGCCGCTCCGCCTCTCTGGACCAGGAGAACAGCTTCTCCACCAGACCCTCCTGAGAGGGACAGCAGATAGAGGTTAGTACTTGCTGGGAAAATCCTGAATGTCCTCTTCCAGTATGAGAGTCACATGATAACACAGGTATCCGAACTGTAGCTGTGTTCATGACAGGATGTGTGATTACCTAGAAGAGCATCAGGACTGTTTGAGGCAGATGATAGCTCTGTGATTAACATGATGATTCAGCCTCTATGGAGAGAGACATCAAGCATGCTCATTTCTGACGTGGAGCTAATCTGAAGTAAACATTGAATACTGCTTTCTCTTCCTCCATCTTGTGACTGTGTAACTCCCTCTCTTGGATATCAGCATGTGAAGGACACTGTTCAGGAACTAGTTGATGCTCTGTATGTGATGACTCCTTCCATTCTGGAGAGGATCACAGATACATGGATCCTGAGGTTGAAGCTCAAGCCGGTGACGAGTGAGAGTTTTCTAACAGTGTGTGTAAATGAAAAAGCTTGTTACCTTCTCCTGGAAGACAGCAGCGGTCTCCAGGCCCGGCATGATGTTCTGCAGCAGTCTGCAGGAGGCCGTGTTCAGATCCAGCTCTCTGCTCGTCATGATGTAGTTATCCAGCAGCTGAGGGACATTAAAGACCTTTAAATACCTTTTTTACAAACACAAATACTGTCAACAAAGACACCGTCACGTTTCTATGGAGGAGGATTAGGAGCACGTGAGAAAGAAGTGTTGGGATGCGACCAAAAGTTTACAAAACTATTTATATAAATAAGCAGATTGTAAGATGACAAACAGATGAATGTTCTGGATGTTCTTCACAGAGCTCAGGTGTTTAACAGTCTGATGGCCTGTGGGTGAAACTGTCTCTGAGTCTGGTGCTTTTTGTCCTGGATCTACTTCTGAGTGCACGGTATATAAAAAACAGATTTGCTTTGCAGTCTTACCGCGTTAGTGAAGTCATCGTTATTGAAGAGCATCTTGAGGAGTTGTCCCAGCATGCACTCTGGGTCTGCCCGTCCTGAACACATTAACATCAGCTTTTATATTCACAGAAAGAAAAGCCAGTCTGGTGCTCCTGGAACAAAGACAGCATAGTGAGAGGGATAAGAACCTGGATGTCGGTCATCGAACGGGTCGGGGTCTGCTTTGTGATATTCTGCTGTCTCCCCTTCAATCAGCTCAGAGATCCTGAGGAACACAGAGGCAGCACTTTTCAACACAAGGCAATTCAAAGCGCTTTACAAACATGAAAGACATTAAGAAAAAGGCCTTTAAAAACCGTCATTAAAAAGCAAAGATAATCAAATAAACATTAAAAGAAAAAATACATGGATAAAAGTTACAGTGCAGTTTAAGATGTGAAGAGTTCAATTAAAAGCAGCGGCAAAAAGAAAAGTCTTCTTGCTGGATTTAAAAGTAGTCAGAGTTTCTGGGAGTTTGGAGCATAATAACTGAACTCCTCCAGGAAGCAGACCGGTCCCAGAAGGAGACGACGTCAAGCTTTGTCTCTCTGTCTGCATCACATCTTATAGAACAGATTAACTGGGGCGGTCAACTCACTGAAAATATGGAATCGCCAATTAATTTACTTATTATCTGTCGTAAAAGGTATATTCGTCAAACTTTCATTAACATGGAAGCGGACAAATATGCTCGCTCGTTTGGGTCGAAACCAAATGGAAATAATAGGACCACTTCACCACAAACTTTCCATTCTTCACAAGTGACTTTCAAATGTTCTTCACAATCATCATCATCAACGACGATTACGTAGGAGAAAGAAGGACCGCGGGCTCCCCTCCAGCTTCCTCTGTACCTCTTGGGAAGACCACATTCCCAGTAGGTAGCTGGTCTCTTCAGTGGACCACTGCGTTTCACTTTGGGGTCTTCCATCGTTGTGTACAAAGTGGATAAAACGTGGGCTTCTTGTTGTTGTTCAGGAGGTTGATCCCACACCCCGGCCCAGCCCCCGCCCCCGACGTAAGCGTAACGTATGCGGTTCTTGATTCTCTTCTTGAAAAACCGGTGCTTATCAGACTCTAGCTCCGAACCGGCCTGGACCCGCGTTGGTGTGAAAGGGGCATTAGAGGTCTCACCTGGTGAGGATGGACACCAGCGTCTCCGTGGTCCCTCTCTGAGACTCCTCCCACTCGTTCAGCAGGGACGTGAGGTCGGCTTTAGCGTCTACAGAGATCGCTGATGACATCACAGGAGGAGGAGCAGGAGCAGGAGGAGGGGGAGGACGAGGAGGAGGGTGAGGAGGAGGAGGAGGGGGAGGGGCTTCACCTCGGAAGCCCATCGCTTCCTGGAGGAGGAGGAGGAGGAGGAGGAAGAGGAAACAATCAATGAGGTTGCAAAGGAACTTAGATCTGAGGTTAAAGTTCAAAAGATAGATAGAAAATAGTTTTCAATAAATGTATGAATAGCTTTGAGTTGTGTCCATGTGAGAATAGCTCAGAGCTCCTGATTCCAGCTTCTTAACATGTCTGTCATTCAGTTCCAGTTTGTTGTGTCAGTGTTTTCCAAAGCCTAACATTACCTTCACAAATATTTAAAAGAAATATACATAATTAACAACAAGGTGGAATCAGGGAATAACTCAATGAAGCTTTGACCTGATAAACCAGTCCCACCTGGTAGACCCTGACTCTTTAAAATGACCCCTCATGAGGACCCTTCCTTTACTCACCCGAAGCTCTGCCAGTGTTACGGGTTGAGGCCTCATATCTCAGACTCTCAGAGACCATCAAAGGGGGGGGAGAGATGGTATTTACCCACAACAGTGTCCTCTTGCTGGGGACAGCTGCTCAGGCACACCCTCCACTAACCAAGGAGGCGGGAAAGTACTCAGACTTAAGTACAAGTACAAGAGTGGAGTAAAAGTTCATGTTACTCAAGTTAAAGTACAAAACGTTAGCATCAAAATGTAGTTAAAGTACAGGTCTTGTACTTGAGTAAAAGTAGAAGTACTCAGACTTAAGTACACGTACAAGAGTGAAGTAAAAGTAAATGTTACTCAAGTTAAAGTACAAAACGTTAGCATCAAAATGTAGTTAAAGTAACTGAAGTAGAAACACTCAGATCTTGAGTAAAAGTAGAAGTACTCAGGTCTTGTACTTGAGTAAAAGTAGAAGTACTCAGATCTTGTACTTGAGTAAAAGTAGAAGTACCAGAGTGTAGGAATACTCTGTTACAGTAAAAGTCCTGCATTCAAAATGTTCCTCAAGTGAAAGTAGAAAAGTATTCTCATCAAAATATAGTGAAAGACAGTAAAAGTATTCGTTGTGCAGATTGGTCCATTTCAGAATAATATATATGATATGTTTTATAATGATTGATCATGAAAGTGTTCTCAAAGCTGGTGAAGGTGCAGCTAGTCTGAAGTACTTTGTATACTGCAGGGTAGCTGGTGGATTTACTCCAGGTGGAACTAAAGTCTGATTCAACACTTGATTATATTTCACATCATTCATCCACATCTGTGAAGTAACTAAAGGGATTACATACATGTAGTGGAGTACAAGTACCTCAGAAGTGTACTTGAGTACTTGTTGTGAAGTTGTCTCCTTGTTGCTCACGCGCTAACTCTATGACAGGTATCAGACTCACTTGAGTGTCCACAGCTTCCTGACCTCACGTGCACATTATATCTGACCCTCTCCCCGTGTGTGTGTGTGCGTGTGTGTTTTATTTCGAGTCATGTGTTTAGTTGTCTCTACGCTGTACATATAAAACACTTCTTCACTAAAGAACGGGATTATTTGTGGGTGTCCTTTTTAACTATGTGTCTTCTGACTGTGAGTGTTGAGGGTGTGTGTGTTCATGTGTTCAGATGACAGCATGCCTCATGTCAGCTAGCAGCACGTGACTCACCTGAATCGACCTTCTTCTCTCCTCCTCTCAACGGGTGAGGATTCTCCAGGTGTTTGTCGGGAAGTCTCGAGGGAAACCACGCGGACATCTGACGTTTAGTAAAATAAAAAAGTACGGTCACGTTTATTTTCAAACTTCTCCTCGGCGGGCGCTTCGTGTTACGTCACAGAACGGAGTCGCAAAGTGATGACGTATGCGGGAGAACTCGCTCATGGGAGTAGTTGTAGTTCGTATTTCCACATCGTGTCGTTTATGGAATGAATGATTGCGCGTTGATAGTGAAACCCTTTTATACAAATGGTTAGATAATTGTGTGATTTCTTTGAAGCAACCTTATCTACCGCAAGGCATCATATTATTACAAAAGCTATTTGTTTGTGTACAGTTTGTCATGTATTCTTTCAAGAAATTACTTACATTTAAACATTTTCAGAAAATCCGACGTTTTTCAGGCATTGTTTCCCTTTTATATTTTTAAATTTTAAGGCCTTTTAATATTTTCTTGATTTTTTTCCTACATTTTGGGTTTTTTCCATACATTTATTAATTACTTTAGTGGATTTCTCTTTGTTTGAGGCGTTGATATGTATGCTAGTGTACCCTACAGCAGTGCATCATATTATAAAAACAAACCGAACATTTCTCACATATTTTTTACTTACATTTAAAAAGAAATCACATATTTTCCAGAAAAAGACAGTTTTCCATATATTATTCACCTCTTATAATTCACACATTAGTTACTGCTGTTTAAGGGCGTTATAATATTGCAACTCCTTTACTTAATGTTAGCTAATGTAATTTACAACAATGCATTCATTTATCAATTCATTTTTGTCAATATTTAACGTATTACTTGGACGAAAAATTGACAAAAAAAAAAAAATGCACATATTTTTGAATTTTTTTCGACATTTCTCTGGTAATTTTCCAGACATTAATTTCATATTTCCTTGTTTTTTTGGTGCACTTTACTGCTTTAAGGCTTTGCTCGTTGTAAGTCTCTTTATAGTGTAATATTGGCTTGTCTAATCTGGCAGCAGCACCACGTATCTCTTAAAAGTCATGAGTTTCTCAGTAAAAACAGCCCCAGCTTTGGGGTGATGCATTCTCCAGGCTTATTTATTTAGCTTCGGAAGGAGGAGAAATAATCAAAAACATAAATACCTACACACACCTAAAAATAAAGGAATTACACTTAACACAAATCCCAACAAGTGCAAACAGTTTATTGAATCTCTTGGACAAAAAACGCATCCTGCCGTCACACAAATAGTCAGTTTTATTGTTTGTTATCACGTTGAATGTTTTGGCATGCACCCGTCAGATGCTTTCTGAAAACAGAGGAGCAACAACACTGTGTTTATGTGCAGGGTTTACATCTGAAAGAGTTCAGCAGTCATATCAAAGGAAAATAAAGCTGTCCAACAGGGTTTCACACGTCCCGCTTAAAAAGCTGTCCCTTCGGAAAGTCTGGGAAACGTGAAGGTAAATGTCAGGAGCATGAAAAAATAAAATCATCCGTAGAAAGACTATGGCTCTGAAACAAGCTCACATATTTAGAAAAAAGACAATATCTTCTCATTTAAGACGCTCTAATGTTCATTTAGCTGTTTAAACTCTAAGACGTGAATATGTTGAGGATTTTAGACGGTTGGTTGGAAAACAAGACATTTGATGAGTTCCCTCTGGACTTTAACTGTTTGCTGGTGTTTTATAGTCAAAAAGAATATTCAAGGACAACTGTGTGTGTCTGAGAGAGATCTGCTGTTTTAACTCGATCTGACATAAGACATTTGTAATGATTGTTGGAAAAACGAGAGATTTGGTGACTTCCTTGTGGACTTTCAAGTCAAAATGATTATTAAAAAAGGTAAAAAGTAAGTTATCTGCAGCCATAACACACATCAAAACAATCAAAGCTGATCTTTGTTCTGCTCCCCGTTCCAGGTGTGTGTGTGTGTCTGTGTGCGTGCGTGCATGTGTGTGTGTTCTGCTCTTTTAACTCATCTGACATTATAAGACATGAATATTTTAAGGATTTTAGACTTGGTTAGAAAAACAAGAGAATTGATGACTTCCCTCTGGACTTTAAACGGTTTTCATGTGTGTGTGTGTGTGTGTGTGTGTGTGTGTGTGTGTGTGTGTGTGTCTGTGTCTAGTGTGAGTCTGTTAATGTGTGTGTGTGTGTCAGTGTGTTTTCAGTTTGTCTTGGAGCAGTGTGAGCACCAGTCCGTACAGGAAGCCCCCGGTGAGGATGATGATGGAGCTGGAGACGGGGCTGAAGGACAGAATGGCTCCCAGGCCGTAGATCAGCAGGAGAACCATCAGGGTCCTGAAGCTGGCGAGCCGACGCAGGCTCAGCCTCGGACGCTTCGGACGCTCTGACCATCGCCGCGACAACGGGCTCTGATTCAGCCTGGGGGCGGAGTCACCGTCAGACAGGAAGTGACGACACAGGCGACCCGGGAAGTCCGGACGGGAGCAAACAGCGTCCATGTGAGCTCCGAACTGTGGGAGGAAAACAACGAAAGTCAACGAGGCTTCATTTAAGTTTTTTTTTTGTACTTATTCTTTATTAGTTCATTTCTCACATTCCCCTTTACATCGAATAGTACTCCAATTTAGATGAACAGTTTCTTTAACAAGGGGTCACAACATGTAGAGGGTCTCAGATCCTAAAACATTAACATGACAATATGAAAAACTAAATGTATAGAAATCAAATCAATAATAACACTGGAACGTAAAATACACACAAAAAAATGTATAAGGTCATCCAACATATTGCAATAATAAAGTCTAATATACTTAGGAGAATATCCATATACCAGAACATTTCAAAAATAAAAATTGAGGCGTCATCTCTAACAAATGTTGAAAACAGTTTCTTATATTTTGGAGAAACCTCTTGTTTGTTTCTCACAGTCTTAAAGTTGCAGTTGAACATTCGCCTGCTCACCCTGTGGTTGATGAGACTGGAGACCCTGTAGAGGAGGCGGACCAACAGGCGCTCTCGTAGCTCCTGATTGGCTGCAGCTCGGGTCGCCCTGGTACTGGATGTCAAACCTGCGTTCGCCACTGATGATCTACACACACACACACACACACACACACACACACACACACACACCCACACACACACACACACACACAACACACACACACACACACACACACACACACACACACACCACACACACACACACACACACACACACACCACACACACCACACACACACACACACACCCACACACACACACACACACACACACACACACACACACACACACACACACACCACACACACACACACACACACACCACACACACACACCACCACACACACACACACACACACACACTCTTTATTGCTGCTACTCATTTTAGGCCATGGTTGTTATATTGTCTTCATTTTAAATGTCGCGCTTCCTTCCTTTGTTTTTATCAAGCCACTAGACACCTAAAGGCTGTTACACACCAAGCCGATTTTCGCCATCGATAGATGTCTGGCCGTCGATGAGCGCCGTGTCGCCCTACTCATATTGGTGTGTACCGCACCGTCGGGTCTTTTCGGCCGACACCTCCCCCCCGATTCGACTTGTTGAATCAGGAGGCTATTGGCTAAAGGTCGTCGGCCAAAGAAATCACTCTGATTGGCTGTTCAGCTTAGCGAATCAGTGCATGAGAATTGAAACGGAAGTGAGAGACGTAAACAAACGATTAAGAAGGCAAATCTGAGATTTAATTGAACTCCAGCTCTCGACTCAGGTTCGGGAAAGCCCCGTGAGCTTCTCGCTGTAGAGGGAAAATAGAACGCACACGCTACTTGTTGTTTGTTTATATCACGCAGTCTGTTCTTCTTCTCTGGGTGTATCACGCAGTCTGTTCTTCTTCTCTGGGTGTATCACGCAGTCTGTTCTTCTTCTCTCTGTGTATCACGCAGTCTGTTCTTCTCTCTGGGTGTATCACGCAGTCTGTTCTTCTCTCTGGTGTATCACGCAGTCTGTTTCTTCTCTCTGGTGTATCACGCAGTCTGTTCTCTTCGCTCTTGTATCACGCATCTGTTCTTCTTCTCTCTGGTGTATCACGCAGTCTGTTTCTTCTTCTCTCGTGTATCACGCAGTCTGTTCTTCTTCTCTGGGTGTATCACGCAGTCTGTTCTTCTTCTCTCGGTGTATCACGCAGTCTGTTCTTCTCTCTGGGTATCACGCAGTCTGTTCTTCTTCTCTCGGTGTATCACGCAGTCTGTTCTTCTTCTCTGGGTGTATCACGCAGTCTGTTCTTCTTCTCTCGTGTATCACGCAGTCTGTTCTTCTTCTCTCGTGTATCACGCAGTCTGTTCTTCTTCTCTGGGTGTATCACGCAGTCTGTTCTTCTTCTCTCGGTGTATCACGCAG